TCGACAACTTGTCTGCTTCCTTAAATGTTTGTTTTCTCATTCTTACCATTTCTCTTTATAGGCAATCTTTTATCCCTATCAATCTCAGGTCTCTTCTTTCTCCTCTTCTCTTTCCTTCCTTCTTTCCTTTATTCCTTCCTTCCTTTTTTTCTTTATACTTCTCTTTCTCTCCCTTTCTCCCCATATTTCCTATTTCTCTTTCTTTTCTCTCTTTTTACTTTTTCACTCTTATTCTCTCTCCTTAACTCTTCCCTCTTTTATATATCATTTATCCTCTCTCCTCTTTCTCCCTATCTTTTCTTTCTTTTTTTCTTTTCTCTATTCCTCTTTTATTTTCTCTATTTGTTTTTACTCGCCTTCACACTATTCTCTCTTTTTCTTTCCCCCTTCTTCCACTCTTCATTATGTTATTCTTTCTCTTCTTCCTTTTCAATTCTCTTTCTTCTTCGCACTCGTTTTCATTTTTTCATACTCTTTCTCTCTCTCTCCCTCTTTCTCTCTATATCTCTGAGTTTTTCTTTCTTTTCTCTTTTTCTCTTTTATTTTCGTTCGCCATCTTTTCTTCTATCTTTTTCTTTCCCACTTTTACACGCTCAATTTTTCTATTATGCTTTTCTTTTCTTCTTTTTTCAATTCTCTTTCTTCTTCGCATTTTCTTTCGCTTTTTTCATGCTCTCTCTCTCTCTCTCTCTCTCTCTCTCTCTCTCTCTCTCTCTCTCTCTCTCTCTCTCTCTCTCTCTCTTGCATACGAACATTTATTTACTCTGGAATTTAATTCCAATAAAAAAAGTAATTGGACTGATAGTCAAAGTGCCACCTTGTAGAGATTCCTGTGGTGAAATGGACTGTCGGAATCGATATAGACTTGCGCATGCGCGTTGCGGGGAAAATGTAAAAGGATCTGTTGTCGGGACGAGCAAAATTCTGGGAGGTCCCCTCACGAGTGAATTATTTTTAAATGCCAAAAAAACTCATCATTTAACAATTCATTCGTTTTACATTTTCTCAGTAATATTTCATAGAAACACTTATAGATAAAAACTAATATATACTAATTCATAGTATATTACAATGAATCATTCATACAAAAAGTAGATTAGTAAAGTTAATTATATAAAATGGCGAAAACTCTTCGCAAACAAAATTTTAAAGTTGCATCAACTCAACAACAAAAAAATTCTCAAATTACCATATTAGTAAAAAACGCACTCTCTTAAATTTTCAGAAAAAATGCAACCTTAGCGTTGCGAGTGCACGCTCCATAAGTTCTTATCCGTTAACAATAACACATTTCTAAAAAAAACATATTTCGATTCGCATTTAATTTTTTGTCTCTGATGCTACCTGGATTTACTAAAAACAAAATAATTTCCATGCCTGAGGATGACTGTGTGTACAGCCGAAAGTACTTGCAGATTTAAAAAAAGTCCTTATACAACCTGTAGTTATAAAAACAAGGATCATAACATTCATCGAGTGGTTCGTAGGTTAATGCAACTTTAAAATTTTGTTTGCGAAGAGTTTTCGCCATTTTATATCATTAACTTTACTAATCTACTTTTTTGTATGAATGATTCATTGTAATATAAATTGAACTGCACCACATATTTAATTCATAGTATATATATATATATTTAAATAAATATGTTTATATATCTTCTATATACAGGATGATTAATGTACGTTTTGTACAGCGGTTCTCAATGAAGCAAGTGGAATTTTTGGGTCGAGTTCAAATTCCAGTCCGATTTGTTAATTTCGCTTTTGCAGAAATACACTTCGAGTGATATGACTCTGTCTCTTCTGCTTGTGGTTAATAACAGGATAAACTGAACTATCTAGTCATGGTTGGCAACCAGCCTAGAAGAAGAACTTCTGAATTCAAAACCGGTTAGGGAAACCAGTGGAGCAACACATAGCATGGTGAAGTTGTCACCATATACACCAACCAAATAATCTACAGGGTTAACACACACATACATATGCGCACACACACACAGACAGACGCAAGCGCATACATACACGCACAGAAGCACCCACACAGGGGTGTTCCTAAAAATATATACATATATACATATAAAAATATATACATATACATTTATATGAAGAAATATAGTTTTAAGGTGTGCTATATTTATGGGCTAAAGTGCTCAATATCAGAGATAGAGCATATGTAAATATAAATATAAAAGTGAAGATTGAAGTCAACACTCAGAGGGAACAGGCCGTTTTCATGCTAAGCACAATCGTCAGGCCTGACGATTGCGTCCAGCATGAAACAGCCTGTCGCCTCTGAGTGATGACTTTAATGTTCACTTTTTATATTTATATTTATATATATGTGTGTGTGTGTGCGAAAAGCGTGTTTATATAAATATATATATATATATATATATATATATATATATATATATATATATTGTGTATATTTAGACAGCAAGTTTTCATTGATGCATGTTTCATTAAATAATATACACAAGATTTGTCTATTTATTTTAAGTAAGTTCCTTTCATATTGTCTGATAAGCTTAATAACATTATCATTGAAGGACGAAAGGATATATATATGTGCGCGCCCGCACGTGTGCGTGTGTGTGTGTGTGTGTGTGTGTGTGTGTGTGTGTGTGTGTGTGTGTGTGTGTGTATATAATATATATATATAATTATTTATATATTATATGCGGTAAACTTATTAGAAAGTGCTCAATATCAGAGATATATCTAACATATACACATATATATATATATATATATATATATATATATATATATATATATAGCATCTACACATTAATTGTGCTGGTCCCATTCTTCATTAGTTCGCACAGCTATTACGCCTTGCCAACATCTCATGAATAATGGACTATTCCGTTTTGAGTGCATGGAAAGAGAGGAAAAGCCACTATTTGGTTGAAAGAAGGAAAAAAAATAAGAAAGAAGGAAAGATAGAAGTGTTTAACATTTCCTGCCAACATCTCATAAATAATGGTCCATTCCGTTGTGATTGCGTAGCATGACAAAATACATATCAGGGACGCTACTTGGTTTCAATGAGAAAAGGAGAGGAAGATAGAAGTGTTTAACGGCTGATTCAGTTAAATGCCAAATATTGTTAATTTTAATTTTTTTTTCATTTGTACCCTCATACTTCTTAAAATAAAGACCAGCATTCATATTTATGATTCTTATTGCAATATTTTGTTAAAGTCGTTAAGCTCAAATATTTAACGATATGTTAGGGGAATTTTTATTGACATTTTATTGTCGGAGAACATGCTATGAGCTTAATCATTAACTTAAGAATTAAGGTTCGTCAGAAATTCCCATTAGGTAAACCATAAAATTTTCACTAGACGTTCCAGTTTTTAGTTATTATCTGAAATTTAATAAACGCTTTGCTAAATAATAATAATTACCCCGAGTAAGAAAAACAGTACATATCTATGGTTAATTGATATCGGCTTTAAGCCCGTTTAAGCGCGAGACTCAGTACTTTGAACCTCTCTTTTATATCAGGCAAATGGGATGAACCCAACACGGGTTCGAATCTCATCGTGGCTAATTTATCCAGGTGATATTGTGATAAAGTCAAATTGGCTGATCTTAAAACCGACCTAAGTCTGTCTTTTTGTTTTTAATGGGGCAAAGAATGGCTTGTCAATTTTAACACCTCCAAAATGAAACTTCTCTCCATTAATCATCTGATAGAGTCTGCTCTGCTTTCCATCAATATGGCTGATGCTAACCTCCAAGAAAGTGACTCATTGTGCCTTCTCAGGCGAACGTTCTCAGCTGATGTGAAGTAGAAAGACGATATTAAATCCATGGCTAGTTTAGCTCCATGTTTGGTGTTGTGCGAGACAATTTTTCTCTCCAGAATCTATCTTACATATCTATGTCTGCCATTCGTCCAAAATTATTGCTTGTTAGTAGCAGTAAACTACAGGAATGAATGACTTTCCGAAGTTTTTATTTGTTTTTTTTATTGTTAATTTTGGTCGGACGTTGTGTTGTTCAAATGGCCTCTTTCAAGTTGTTTTTAAGATAAAGGATGGCAGATACTAGACTTTAAGAATTCCCTCCTTGGTCATTTTGACAGTTTTATCGGTTGTTGGGAATGGAATGTGTGTGTGCGTTAAGTATATGTTATCTTTTAGTTCTTTGAGGGTGTGTGTGATGTGTATATATTTGTGTGAGTGTGTGCATAAGTGTGAGACCTGAACACCTCTGCAAGCATGTCTGTCTTGTGCGGATGAGAAAAATAAATATATATATATATATATGTGTGTGTGTGTGTGTGTGTGTGTGTGTGTGTGTGTGTCCATCCTTAGGTGCCATGTGTGATGCATGATTGTCAATTCCTGATTGACTTGGCAAAAGAATTCAAATAGTAAACTGCTATTACTGTCTGCAGTAGATTGCACCCCCCCATATATTTATGTATTTAGTATGTCAACTTTTAGGGCTATGGTGCAGAGTAATTACAATGTTAGTATTCAGACTATGAGTTCCAGTTTGAGATTTCACCCTGTGGTCGATTTGTCAAGGGGGCTGACTTCCTGATAATATCAGCCAGGGAAGATTGATTTGTCTGTTTAACAGCATATCAACTCCTTAGGGTTCATTTTATGCTAAAATTTAATTTTCTCAGAAGCTTTGGAGTAATAAAAATGATATGTTATTCTGCTTTCACAATTGAATACATGGTAGATAATACTCAGCTTTTGTTCTTATAGATGCTTGTGTGGACATAATTACTAGAGGCGGTGAAATGTGTGTTTTATGTTGTAGTTCTTTTTTTTTATGGATTCATGCGGAAAGAGTCTATTATGCTCGAGATAAAAACGGTGAAGCCCGGGCTGTAACTTTGAACATCTCGAAGGTCTTTGACAGTGTTTGACATTCAAGTCTTCTCCGCAAGCTGGGAAGTTATGGTGTCTCCGGACACATTTTTGAACTGATCCAGTCTTTCCTATCACATCCCGAAATGAATGTTATCCTGAACGGCCACTCGTCTACATCCTTTCGTACTACCGCGGGTGTCCCACCCCAGGGCTGCATCATTTGTCCTACTATTTATTTAATTTTCATTAATGACATTCCTGATGACATCAGCTTTCAACTTGGTATCTACACTGATGAATTTACTCTTGCCTCGATAGTAAGACTGATCAGTATGGCAATGTCAAATTGGCAGACGATGTCCAAAACGACGTCCAGTTCGTCGTTAACTGGGGTCAAAAATGGCTTGTTAATTTCAACGCCTTGAAAACTAAACTTACCTCAATTAATCATCTGAGAGTTTCCTCTGTACCTTCCATCAGCATGGCTGATGCTAACCTCCATAAAAGTGAATCGTTGCACATTCTCGGGCTAACGTTCTCAGCTGACATGAAGTGGAAAGCCTATATTGAAGCCATTGCTAGATCAGCTGCCAAGAAAGTCGGTTCACTGTGTCGTGCGAGACAATTTTTCTTTCCAGAATCTATCTTACATATCTATAAGTCTACCATACATCTATGCTTAGAATATTGCTGCCATATATGGCACGATGCTCCTGGAGGTTCTTAATAAAATCCAAAGAAGCAATATTATTGGGCCTGACTTGGCGTCTCGGCTTCAGTTACTTTCTACCGGGGCTTTCTATAAATTTCCATGGCGATTGTTCTGATGCTCTTTCCACTTTGACAATTCATCTTCACAAATTTCAGTGTGGCATCTAAGTCGCATACTTTTACTATGCCTGTGTAAACGTTTATTCCGTTTAGGATTGGGTTCCCAGTTCCTTCTCAAATCTTCGCATTCTCTTTCACTCCCAGTAGCCCCTTGCATCTTAGTGGCATTATCGTCTTGCTTGGGGTGAATTGATTAAAATAAATTCTTGCCACTATAAACGTTATTCTTGGTAGATACACATGATTGAGTTGTTAGTCTTACTTTTACTTTAACGGTGAACTTAATAACAACCGAACTAGAGAGAGAAAAATTATAGTAATCAGAAATTACTGTAATTTTCGATGAATAATACGCATTTTTTTTTCTAAAAAATAACAAGCAAAATTAGGGGTGCGTATTATGCACAGCTACAAAAATCTTTAAAAAAATTGCCGTTCCACAGGTCAGTTGCGAAATGACTTACCCACCACAAATATACGACAATTTTCCATTAACATTCGGCGATTGCGACCCCATAAGGATGTCAAATACAATCATATGTACCTAACAATGCTTACAAATGTAAAATAAATTAAGAATTATAATAAAACTAAATTAGAATAATATTTTTCTATGTTTAAAACAATTTTTCTGACAAACTACACACAGATCCAGTAGATTGCACATTTTATCGAAGAAAAACAGGTTAATGAGTTTGCGCAGTAGGCACAATATAGGTATTTCCGTTTCCTTTTAGAATCGTGATGATCGGAAATTTTGATAAATATCTTCAATTACAGCTTGAATATGAGTAGGAAACGCTGGCCATAATGAAATTAGAGAGGTACAATTTGTTTGATTACCGGACAAGGGGTGCGTATTATGCATGAGTAGACAGTTTCAGCACAATTTTAGGGGTGCGTATTATGGATGAAGGCGTATTATACATGGGGGATTACGGTATGTCGGATTAAAAAAAAAACCTTTACTGCTGTTTAGGTTCCAGTTGGCTGTTATTAATTTAACTCTCACCAAATCTGAACAAATATAATATTTTGGGAGAAGGGCTTGTTAGTCGAGTCGAGAACTTTCGGCTCTCCTTTGTAAATTGCAAGAAATGGGGCCGAGTTTTACGATTTTTGTTTATACACGAGTAAATGAGGCTGAATGTTTCTCAAAAAATATTTGTCAATGTGTTTTTCTCATAAGTGTTTCTCAGAAACTTACGAAGAAATGCAGAAAAGTTCTCGGACCGACTAAGAAGAAACTCCGCCCACTCATGTGTCTTATATAGTCAGTTGGCCAGGTTTTTATTATATAGTCATCTGACCTGATTTTTAATACATAGTCATTTGACTAGATTTTGGTCGCATCTGAGTACATTTCAAAACACTCTAGTGTACATACGTACATACATAGGAAAAATAAGGAACATATTATAAACGTTTATAAAATAAAATGATTTTATCATTCTTTCCGATTTAATCCATAATCGATTTAATTTCATATATATATGAGAGGGCATTTTCAAAAATTTTCCAAATTGGTATACATTGAAATATTGATAATGGACATGCGCACGGCCAACTACCTTACTGAATCCCTTCAGGCACATATATATATATATATATATATATATATATATATATATATATATATATATATATATATATAATTATCATATAGACAAAACCATTTTTACCCACTACAGAGATGCAACTTCGTTTCAGTGCATTTCAACTGCACTTCGACGGGTGGAAGTGCAGTTGAAATACAGTGAAACGAAGTTGCATCTCTGTAGTGAGTAAAATGGTTTTGTCTATATGATAAAATTATAATAAATAAATAATCATCGCTCTACTCTCGGTATCGAGCCCTCTTTTGGATTAATGCTGTGAACGTTGGAATTTATATATTACTTTCGTTCTCATCGTATCGGATATATATATATATATATATATATATATATATATATATATATATATATATGTGTGTGTGTATTTGTGTGCGTGTATTTGTGTGCTTGTGCGTGTGTCTGTCTGTCCGTGTGGGTGTGATATATATGTGTATGTGAGTGCGTGTGTGCGTGCGCATGCGCATCTGCATACATAAATATATAAAAAATAACATTCTTCATTATTTACCAACTATTTGTTAATTTTATGTTAAAAATCTCTTTTATTTACAGATTGCGACATCTATCAGAGAGATGAAATTTAAATTGTTATTACTATTGCATTATTCTAAAATTTTAACACATCAGCAGATAGCTATTAACAACTGAGCACAAATAGTTATTAATTAAAAGAAAAATAGTAATTAATATACAACATTATTCATAACTACATATACAAGAATGTCGTTTTTGATAAAAGTTAAAAAAAAAAATAACCATAAATACGTAAAAATGCGTTCATTGTCAAAAATTCCCTTTTCCACAATATAGCTATTTGTGCTATGTTATAATGCTTATTACCTAAACAATAATAATACTATTTTTTTTAAACATTAAAGTATATTTAATCACATCTCCTTAATAACTGTCACAATCTGTAAGTAATGGCTATTCAAGTTATCATTTAATCAGCACCCCTCACTCCATGACCGTATTATCAACGATAAATATCTGGAAAAGAAAGTTCGTGCTGTTTCTTTTAAGTGATCTGAAAACTTCCATGTTAAAATTTCCATGTAATATGTACATTTACGTAAACTTTCATACTAACTGACCCTGATCCGTAATAACATGGCGACATTAATCAAAGAGATGAAATTTAAATTTTTATTATTGTATTATTCCAAAATTTTAATACATCAGCAGATAGCCAACAACTGAGCACAAATAGTTATTAATTAAAAAAATACTAATTAATGTACAACATTATTCATAACTACATGTACAAGAATGTCGTTTTGATAAAAGTTTTAAAAAAATAACTATAAATACGTAAAAAATGCGTATATATTCTAAAAATTCCTTTTTCCACAATATAGCTATTTGTGCTGTGTTATAATGCTTATTACCGAAACAATAATAATAATGGATTTTTTAAAAAACATTAAAGTATATTTACTCATATCTTCATAATAGCTGTTGTCATCTGTTAAAACAAAGCATTCTCAAGGGTGAAAAGGAAAATACAGGCTGCGTCTGAAATACTTGTCACACATACCTGCTAGAAATACTATCTTTATTATACGGGAGTTATTTCTGGAAAATATATCATGGGAGGTATTTCAGCTGCGTTCTGTATAAATAATATATATGTGAATATATCAATAAGTGATTTATCATCTGCAGTATCTGTAATTTCTTACTATTTCTTGATTCATAACCATAGCATTAGCAATTCACACACACACATATATACATATATATATATATATATATATATATATGTGTGTGTGTGTGTGTGGAGGGGAAATAGATAGAGCTCTCTAGAGAAAAGGGTAAATTTAAAAATAGTGGCTGCTCCTGTTATTAATGCATTACTCTTCGAGTACGAATTGAGTTCTCCTGGCTACTGTTGTATTTCGTATAGAAAACTGTAAAAAGATTTCCCTTTCTCTCTGCCGTGCGCCGATAGCTTAGGGGTAGGGTCTCTGACTGATGCCAAATTGATCGAGCAATCGGACGTCTAGCCGCACTGAAGAGCTGTGATTCAGCGAAACAGCCTGTGTTTGGATTACTATATATATATATATATATATAGATATTAGTCCTTGTATATCAGATCCTGTGAGCCTTCCGTTTGTAAACAGAGGGAATGCTTACTAGGTCTGAATGTTATTGGACACTAGCTTTCTTGAAATTGATATTTTTCCCCCTTCCATTCGTTATATTAATTTAATTTACACGCTTATATATATTTTTATATCCCAGAAAAATAAACTTGATAAGGCTCGGACGAAATCGGTTGTTCTTTTTTAGCTTTTTAAAATGCCATATAAATTTTTCCTTTTCCTAGCTATCGTTAAATTTTTGTACCATAAAAACACATATATATATATATATATATATATATATATATATATATATATATATATATATATGATGAATAAAGACAATAGGAAAAGTTATTTGAGCCGACGCATTTCGTCCTCTGAGTGGCATTATCATTTGCGTTGATGAAGTCCTTTGGAGGACGAAACGCGTCGACTAAGATAAATTTTCCTTTTATCTTTATTCATATTGATCTTTTTGCAGATATACTCTCTCTGTAATTCTCTCTCTCTCTCTCTCTCTCTCTCTCTCTCTCTCTCTCTCTCTCTCTCTCTCTCTCTCTCTCTCTCTCTCACGCACACACATAAACTGAATTGTTTATTTTTAATCATTAAACTATAACAAAAATTTGACTCTTAGAAACAAAAAATCTTGTCTGCGTCTGCATAATTCAATCAGTTTCATTTAGTTTACGTTTGTAGCTCCTTCGGGGACTGATAGGATAAAAATGTCCCTGATGCGAGCCAATGGTCTGAATCTTTCAAACTGGGGACAAAGCACATCAAATAACAATCAAGTGTCGCCCTTAAACCACCAGAGACAACCAACTGTTTGCTTTTGCGGTGTTTAATGAAAATATCACAAATGCGAAAACCGCTCGTCTTGCTGGCGTCAGTTTTCAACTTGGAGTCGGGCCTACTTTCATATATTATAAACTAGCCTAGAACCCACCCTTCGGGCGGACTTTAGTCTACCTCCTACTGGGTCCTTCGGCTTCTTACCTTCAGCGTCCTGTGTACGTAAATGTTATAAGAATTTAGAAATAATAAAATTATTTTATCTTTATTCGACACCTTAATTCGGCAAAATCTTTCTTCGTGTGCGCAACCGATCTCCATTTATTTTGCGCGCAATTTTTCTTTTCTTTTAAAACTACCGTTCTTTGTGATATCTTCACATAAAGTCAATTCTTAAAATAGGTTAGGGAACCCGATCTATATAATATTTCGAATACGTTACAGTACGCGTGCTAGAAATAGAAAAAAAGAACATATGAGCAATGTACCGTGCCCCGCTTAAGTTTTAATTGCAGTTTAATTAGACGATATCAATTGCAATTGCGATGGAAAGCGAAATTAAAGTTAAACCTTTAATAAAGAATTGTTTTTTTTTAAACCTTTCACTCTGTTCGATATTTAAATTTAATTTTAAATGAGTTATTTATTTAAGTTTTAATCGGGCGTAACTACAATAGTTGTTTATGATTCGTCGAGATCAAAAAACGGACGGACGGACGGACACACGTACACTGCGTTTTCTTTATTATAGAATCTTAGAAGATCGAAAAATAGACGGAATTTCTATAAGGATTATTATAAACTATTGTATTTAAAATTGTTATGAATTTGCAGGATGCCTTTAAATTTTTTCTTCTAAGAGTCACCTAATCCAAGGCTCTAAAGCCACTCAATGTTGCAAATTATTGAATGAAGCTTCTGTAAGGGCGCACAAATAGGTGCATATTATGGGGATATGTAGGATAGATAACGGTTGATCCCAGATTTAGATATTAAGATTGTAATGATCGCGAAACAGTTCTGGGGAAGAAGCTGGCTGAGCTGAACTTCCTCCTTACTAACAGAATACGAAGGGAATGAGGATGGGTTGAGTCCGTGTACGTGACATGGCAAATCCTAGATGCGATGATTTCGTCTGGTGTAACTAAGGAATATTGTTCGTCTAAACACCTACCATGAAAATGCCAATAAAAAACGATAGGATGCCAACGTTTCGTCTGTTGGGAAGGGGTTGTAGGGTTGGAAATAATTCATCACCCACAAGGCCGCGTAAACGCTTTTGAATTCTGTCAAGGCTGTAAAGTGGGGATTGGGCAGCTCCAGACTCTATAGGGCAGCAATACCTGATTTTTGGTCAGATCTGGCTCTAGAAAATTTAGGGCACAGCAGGAGGAGTCGGGTACTTTTTTGGTGTGATACAAGGAACCGACTATCCCTGGTTTAGCCAGTAGAAACTTTATTCTCCAGAACAAATAGAAATGGCATCACGGGAGAAAAGAAATTTAAAAATGGACGAAATAGCAAAACTGACTGATACGAGTTATCTCCCCTTAGCATCGACAGCGAAATGGAAATAAACTATGTTCGTTGAATGAGGAATTCCGAGAATGTTATTAAATACGACAAAAGAAGGTCGACGAGAAATATTATGAATAGAACAAACACCACGACGACATCAGTTCAAAGATATCAGTTGAAAATAAAGAGGTTTTAACGTGTCATTTTTTTTTTTAATTATTTACCATTAAATGTGAAATTTATTCTTAAAAATGTTACAGACAATTAAATTTTTGATAAACAAGTCCTTAGCACTCAGTGAGGTGCCTATGGTAAATAGTCCCTTGCTAATCACATCTATTATATAAGAGTTCTTTATTTCTATGCCAAAATAATGCCATCGACTTCGAAATGAGGGCGAAACATTTAAGAACATACGCGTATTTTTAGTGACGGAGATTCAGCAAAGTCAATGGCAACGGATAGAGAGAAATTAAATATATCGGTAAACGTAGTAGCGTCCGAGGTTCGAATCCTATCAGAGGTTGTTGCTTTGGTTTTTATTTTGTTCAGTGTTATTTGAAGGTCAAAACAACAAACTGAATAGATTATCAATCTGACATTATATATATATATATAGATATAGATATATATAGAGAGAGACATACAGACAGACAGACAGAGAAAGGGTGCGATGCGTAAATTGTCGCCATTTTATATTTTTAGTTTCGCGCATGTGCATTGTTTTTTTATTTTGCCGACTGCACATTATATTACGGTGAGTTGTAAGAAAAAGAGCACCATGATGCGATTCACTCAGCCCGAAATTTGGAAACGGGTGTCAATCTGAGGAGAGTGCAGAGGATTCAAAATGAGTTGGATGAATCTAATGGTGATTAAGAAGGTATGGCAGCTAAGAAAACTCACTCAATCGTTCGGATAAGAAAAAAACTACCACATTTCTTAAGGAGGATCTCATACTCATCACAGATCATCAAGTACTGCCATGGATCAAGTGGGTTGCTGCTGGAAGAGACTCAAGATTCAACACAGACGCCTACATCAAGTGCTTTGAGGAGTTACTGCTGCTCTGTTTCAAGGGGGTAGCTGCTGGAAAACCCTATGTCTGGCAACAGGACTCTGCACCATGCTACACAAGCAGGAGAACCCAGTCATGGCTGTCAGACAATTTCTGTGACCACATCACCCCTTACATCTGGCCACCTAACTCCTCAGGCTGCAACTCCCTTGATTATCGTGTGTGGGGTGCAGTTGAGCGAGAGACCAACTAAACTCCTTGTAACACCAAAAATGAACTGAAGACAAGGAATATAGCAAGATTCCCTAACACAAAGAAGGAGACTATCCAGAATAGTTTCAGGAGTTTCCGAAGTCGTCTGGAGGCCGTGGTTGAAGCCAATGGCGATTTTATTGACTAATGAATAAATTTATTCTTTATTATTTCAAGATATGTTATATGTGTTATTTTGGTAAATATATTTGTTAAAATGAGATGTCAGTGTTATTTTCATTTTTGCGTAATTTAGACGACAATCGCACCATATATATATATATATATATATATATATATATATAAAGACATTTTTTATGTTTATACTTACTTTTTATAGATACAAATATTTAAGTAAATGCTCTGTTTATAATAAACAGTATTAACAACGTTTACTTAAATATTTGTATGTCTAAAAAGCACGTATAAACATAAACAAATGTCTTTAAATAATAATTGGCGGACTTCGTCCATTTCATTATATATATATATATATATATATATATATGATAAAATAAAGTACAAATAGGATATGTATATCATTTCAATAGGTTTCACTTTTATTAAAGCTTCGTCAGATATTGAGAGAAAACAGACAAAAAGTTTGGTATTTTCAATTATGTTTAGGTTAGTTCTCATTGGTTGGACACGTGTCACGTGTATGAAAGCCGTAGATCTATGTGTGTGAAGATTTTTGTCTGTCTAAGTGGGCATCGGATGGTAATGTGTATTTGTAATTGTTTATGCGTGTCTGTCTAGTGGGAGTTCTATCTTCTCCTTTGTGCGATCAACCCACGCAGGGTGTCACTAGGCTCTAATTTATGGCTGACATCTTTAAGTATATATTCTTTGTATTAGATAGATATAAGTTAGATTCTTTAAGAATGGATTCAAAGAAGAATGGCGATATAATGTAATGGTTTAGACGTGTGTTTATAGTTGGTAATAATGTTATTATTAAACTTCCAGTATTTTCGCCTCAAAGAATTATGTTCTTTTTTTAATTATGGTGGCATTAGTGAAATCAAAGTTATTTCCAGCATCGTTCCGATGCAAAACCAGAAAGTTAGGTCGAAAGAATTGGCATGTAATTCAATTTTCCTAACTCAAGAAAAGACTAGGAATCTCAAAAATTAACAACAACAGCATGTCTGGAAAACCGGACGTCAAATGGCAACAATTGAAGGAAAAAGAGAGAAAAGTTTAAAGAATGAGTGAAAACACGCAGACAGGCGCATCGGTGAACGCAGACATATACGATGAAAAAAAAACTTGTACCAATGAAAAGCGCATATAACAAGGATAAATCGTGACTTATAGGCATCAATTGCTGACGACTGGATGAAGAAATTCCCGGAGGTTCCCTCTACGAAACTCTGGAGTCGGGATGCTGAAGGCAGCATCAGTCAGCTAAGTGACAAACCTTTTACATATATTTATTTATTCTCTCTTTCTCTCTCTCTCACACTCTTTCTTTCTTTCTCTTCTCTCTCTCTCTCTCTCTCTCTATATATATATATATATATATATATATATATATATATATATATATATATATATATATTCTCTTCCGGTACGGTAAGGATCCTGGACTATTATGCAGAAACAGCAAATGCCATTAACAGAATCCCTTTCCAGTACCAATCCTCTATGTCCGGTAAAACACATAAAGCTTTTAAATTATTACCGCAAGGATCGAACCCAAGCCTATCATCTTACAAACGTGGTGGTTTTAACAGATCAACATATTCCTGATGAAATCCAAGACACTCCTCATATATATATATATATATGTGTGTGTGTGTGTGTGTGTGTGTGTGTGTGTGTGTGTGTGTGAACATAAATGCACACACAAAATGACACACCTTGGGGGACCTCAGAAATATATATATGTGTTTCATTTCCTGTCAACGATTTTTCAATACTTGACCTTCTGCCAAGATTGTAGACGGGAAATCAAATCAGATAAAAAGTACATTTTGCATATTTTCCCTAAGGAGGGTCTTTGCCTGTCTTGCGAATCTATTGGTCCTTTG